AAGGAGAGCCACTAACCAATGAGGAAAGGAATTTGTTATAGTAAAGAGGAAAAATCGAAGAAATCAAAGCATTTTTATGCTTGTTTCCTAATAAGCCAAGACTCTTCCATAAACCTCTGATACTTGTGAATTCTTTAAGGACTAGCATGCAGTTCTATAGGTTCATAAGCCCTAGACTTAGTAAATGGAGCCCCAAAGGTGAACTCACAATGAAGAGTCAAGGACGACTTACGGCTAAGCTTTAAAGATAAACAAAGCTTCTAAAGAGAGACTTAACTGTGGGAAAGTGATTTTTTTGAACCCAAACAGGATTGCCATTATTCCAGAAAAAGGCTGCCGGTGACCACGGAGGCCACGTGCTGGCCAACGTTAGAAAGGAGCAGAAACTCAGAAGAGGGGAAAGCCAACACCACACAAAGAAGAGCGAAGATGCCGCTTTGCCTCGGTCTCACTCCCATCTCTTTTCCTCATCCAGCCTCACAAATGCGATGCCTACAAAGCAGTGACTCATGTGGTCCAGTCTGGTGTTGGTTCAAAAGAACAGAGTTCAGAAGCCAAACGTTATGTCATTATAACTTCAGTTCTTTCCTCGCATTTCTCAATCATGAAAGGAGATACTTCCTAGCCCACCCTCCATGCCTCTGCCAGCCTCTGCGACTCCCCAGGGCACAATTCTTCTTTCTTCTCTCCCCATAACTCCACCTCAAAGCTACCCCAGCGCTAGCCCAGGGCCTCTCTGATCTTCCTCTCCCTTTCCCCTTCCAATTCTGCTTGTCAAAGTTCCAAAGAACCACTTTGCAGGGCAGGGATGTCTTCAAGGGTGGGAAGAAGGAGCGAAGAAGTGGGCCACAGTTCCCTTAGCAGGAAAGGGGAGGGAAAGCCTTGGAACAATCACTGTTAATGAGTTTATCCCATTGATAAGTGTGTAGGTTCTTTGCAGCCAAATGACCCTGACAAGGACACTGTGTGACCCAGAATGAGTTATTTAACCTCTCGGAGCTGCGGGTTCAATTCCTGCTCCACAGGGTGGCTGCGAGGGTTGAATGGATGACCTGTGAGAAACAGTGTCCCCTTGGACCCAGCGGCTAATCATCTCTCCGTGCACCCCTGGGAACATGGGAATGCAGCCACCTACAGCTCAGGAGACACCACTCAGAGCCCCAGGATGAGGGCTTCTCGCCAGCCCCTGAAGCCTCAGCTCCTCTGGAGCCAGATCCCTCCCCCCTGACTTTCTGCTCTTTCCTCAAGACCTGGCCCAGCTGTCCAGGGGCCTTGCTTACTTCCTCAGTGCATTGCATCTGATTTCCTGGCTCGTTTGACTTGATACTCCGTGACTGTGCGCCCATGGTGGCCCAGGCCTTGCCATGGGAATAGCTGGCCTTCACTTTAGAGCAGCGGTTCTCAACCTGTGGGTCGCGACCCCTTTGGGGGTCGAACGACCCTTTCACAGGGGTTGCCTAAGACCATCAGAAAACACATATATAATTACATATTGTTTTTGTGATGAATCACTATGCTTTAATTATGTTCAATTTGTAACAATGAAATTGGGGGTCATCACAACATGAGGAACTATATTAAAGGGTCTCAGCATTAGGAAGGTTGAGAACCACTGCTTTAGAGGTTATGGATCTGGGGCTGGTTGGGAAACATTCCTTCTTGGACACCCAGGCAGAAGGGCTTCCCTGATCAGGCCCAGGATCTCTGCAGTTGCCCACCCCTCCTGCCCAAGACAGGGGTCCTGAGGCCAGCAGTCCTCCCGCCCCTGGCACTGCCCTGGGACTGCCTGGAAGTGTGGCTTTTGGAAGCAAAGGTGGAAATCTGGGGGAAGGAAGGAAGGAAGTCGGTCATCACTGTTCCATCATGGGCTGTGATGTGAGGTCCCAGATTTGATCCGTAAAAGGTGAGCAGTGCCTGGCATGTAGCAAGTGCTCCACCGAAATGTGTCAATAGGTGGCTTCTGTTCTCCTGGTCGGTTTGTTCATTTATGAGAGTCAAAGGGAGAAAATACCTGCCACACTTGCTTCTCGTCTCTTGGTTCATCTTAAGGCCGACACGACCAGCACGTGTGATAAACAGTCCACGCTCAGTGCCTGCAGGTGCTGGCCCAGACTGTGCGGCTGTTCCGACGGGCCGGCCTCACCTTTCCACTGTGAACAAAGCGGGACTAGTGTCAACAGGATGGGGAGGCCCAAGGAGTGGAGAGTGAGAAGCTGTTTAACCCACTTAGAGAATCTGCTGCTTAGAAACACAAACAAATAATGAGTGTGCTAATTGCTAATGATAACAAAGTTTGACAGTTTTCAACACTTATCAGTCACATCATTTGAATCTCCCGACAGCCTGTGAGATGAGATAAGTGTTCTTCCTGGATTTACGGATTTATGGATGAGGTGACTGAGAGCCAGAGAGGTTAGGGAACTTGTCCAAGTTTACACAGCTGAGCCCAGATTCAAACCCAGGGCAGAGTGTCACCGCGTCCTGGCCAGCGGCCCTTTTGCCACCTTGTTGGCTTCTTCCAGGAGGCCCTCGGCCAGCCAGAAGCTGGTGGTAGTTCAGGGTGTCACTGTGTCTTCCTGGTGGTGGAGAGATGACCACTCTCAGCATCCACAGGAGAGAGACCCACCCCTCGTCCCAGAAGGTTCCTCGTGCTGGCCCTGGACAGGCCCCTTTGTCCTGGGGATCATTCTGTTGGTGAATTGGGGCAGGTGGGGGTGGGGGGTGGGGATAGGGCATGGGCAGCAGCACCAACCTTGGAGTGGAACAGTCCTGAGGATCCAAACCCAGGCACTTACAAGCCAGGACTTCAGGTGGGTCACCTTCTGTGCCTGGGGCTCATTTCCTTCAACTGGAAGGGAGGGATGCGAGAGAGGGGACATAATCCTTCCAATTTCTAACATTCACTGTGAGTTTCTTACACTTGCCCCCAAAATGTTCTTTTATCTCTGTGGCCACAGAGACTCCCCAGGAAGAGGCTGTGAGGGAGGCCTTATGGCTGATGACAAGTGAGAGAAATGATCAGGGTAGTGGTGTCTGGAAAGGGAGTCACCTCTCAGCATCTTCCTCACCCCTAGATCTCTTGCGCACCCCTCTAGGCCTTTGCAGGTTTCTGAGTGCTTTACACACTTAACCTAGGGTAGTTGGCACCCCATCTCGCAGTTGACAAAGCTGAGGCCCAGAGGCGGGAGCACTCTCGTGAGGCCCTTCCCCATGCCCAGCTTGCTTTGGGCACTCTGGCGCCTTATTTTACTGTTATATAAACCCTATGGGGTGAGTGTTATTGTACCCACTTACTGCTGAGAAGACAGGCTCAGAGAGGAGTCACTGGTCCACGGTCACACAGCTCCCAGCTGGTGAAACGGATTGGTACCTAGGGAATCGATTACAAATCCTACCCTCATTCTGCCCCTCCATGAGGACAGGACAAGGGTCCTGCTCAAGGCCAGCCTTGTGGACTCCCGGTCCAGTGCTCCTTCCTTGGCCCACATTCCTCTTGTTCTCCTCTGAGCCTCCAGAGGACACTAAGTTAGGCGCCGATGGCTGTGCTCTTGCTGCTCGGGGATGTCTCATTTCAGTGGGTTCCCATGGGTGCTGGCTTGGCTTCTTAAAAAGAGAGGCCAGTGAGAAGTCAGTGCCCTGAGAGCTACTCCTGGGGCAGCTGAACTCTACCACCTTCTCCTTGCCTCTTCCTGTTTGGAAGAACCGGGTTCAGTTTGCACAGCCCTGCTTCCCACGTCAGAGCCCTTCCACTCGCAGGTGCTGGAGGGCTAGGTGCTGTCCCATTATCTTACCGTGGCTTACACCTGGCAGGACAGCGCCTGACCTGTCCCACCTGCTCCGGGAGGCCAGGTGTCCCTCTGGACCTGGGGCCCAGGTGTTGCTTCCCTTGATGGTCATGTGGTTCAGTGCTCTTATTTCTGTGGCCTGGGAAGCAGGAGTGGATGAGTGGGGGGTGAAAGGGTTAACTTCATTTTGGCTGTTATTCCTCTTTGGCATCTGCAAGTCAGCTTAATAGGATCTCAGCTTTCCTGTTGCCTCACCAATGAAACAGAAACCAGACCACAAGGGGGTCTGGAGATGGTTAACGGGTGATACCTCCTGGGGGGCTGCAGAGCCTTCTCAGAGATATCACTAGGAAATGACTGCTAGGAAGGCCATGCCGGGGCCCCCTGTCACCAGGGTGAGGAAAGGGCCAGGGAACTGGGGCTCCCCAGAAGGCCTGGCTCCAGGCAGAGGGGAAGGAAGGCGGGTACAGGGTACTCGATCCACCTTCACAGTTCTGGGAGTCTCAGCCGGAGTCTCAGGATACAGTGCATAGAAAAGCACCAAGCTTGGCACAGAGTATGCCTGGCTCCATAACTGTCAGCCCTATTGAACTCTGGGTCTCTCTCTCTCACTCCCCCAACCCCAGGGCCTTTGCAATTCCTTTTCTCTCTCTCTGAAGCACCCTTCATTTCTTGGCCAGCTCCTACTTCAGATCTCAGTCTCTTCCAGGAAGCCCTCTGAAATTGGGCTAGGGGCTCATGGTGTCCTGGTGTCCTGGGCTTTCCCTTTTAGTCTTGTCCCTAGTGAGCGTACACACACACACACACACACACACACACCCAGCTCCAGCCATGTGCCCTCATGTGGTAGGGATTGAGTGTGTGGCTCCTTCACCTTGAAGCCCTGGCAGTGGCCCAGCAGAGGGTCTACACCATTCAAAACTTTGGGAGAAAGAGAGGAGTGGGTGGGGTGGAGGGAAGGACAGGACACCAGCACTCTGACCCGTCTAGATGCCCTTTGGGAGCCAGGAGAAAGGGGATTTAACTGATCCTGAGGTCGGGACTCTCCTGCCGGGCTAGCTTTTCTTTCCACGGTGGTTTTCATTATTTTTCATTCCCAGACTATTTTGGAAGCTGGCTGCCATGGGAACTGAGTCTTTGGAAAGCCCCGGCCTCTTTCCCCCTCCTGCCCCCACCCCCACCTTCCATCTCCATTCCCTCTTAATTGGTTTTTAGTTCCCTGGCTTTCAGGCTGGTCTGTTTATTTTGATTGCAACTCGACAGAACAAATCTTTAATGAACCAGCTTGTGGGGAGAGCCATTAGCAGCCGCCTGCCTCGAGGGAGTGGGGGAGGCGCCCAGCCAGGGCCACGGCCCTGGCCGCCCCAGGAGGAGGTGGTGGCCAGGCACCAAGAGGCAGTCATGTTACCGGTGTCAGTCGGTGTTTAGGGCCCAGTTTTCCTTCAAGGATAGTCCGGAGATGAGGAAACAGAACTTGCCCTCCCCAAGCTGCCTGCAGCCTCAGCCAGGAAGACCCCAAAGCCCTTGAAACCATCCGGGGGCCTTACAGGGAGGGCTCTCTGGTCCTCCCCACGACCCTGAGTGCACTCTGCAGATGTGGGGAGGGGGCTTAGAAAGACAGAGACCCAAGTCACTGGGCCAGATCGCTTTTTTCCAGGTTCCCTGGAGTGTCACTCATCCTTGGGCCAAATTGGCAGCCTATATCCAGGCTGGGCTCTTCCAGGCTGTGGATTTCTAGAGCAAATGGCTCCTTGCTTTGTGAGTTGGTCTCCCCACCTTGAAAACAGAGCCACCTGGGCCTTAGACCACTCACTGTGCTGCTTCGTAGACAGGAAGAGATCGTGTGTGCCCGAGAGCCTGGCAAACAGAAAAGTGTGGTATAGGTGTGTGTTGCTATTAGGAGTGTAGACTGCAGAACAATCCATATCGTTTCCTTGGCTGTAGCAAGCCTGGAGGGAGCCCCTAGACCATGTGACTGGCCCCATCCTTAGGGTAACCTCAATAGATGTGTTTCTCCTTTCATATCGACCCCATGCTGCCAGAGCCATTAATCTTAGAAGAAGAAAACTATGGGGTGTGAGAGTGGGAAGCTGCCTTAGAGATCAAGTTCAGTGGTTTTCAAACTGGTATGAAGAACTCCAGGGACCTGTGACTGAGACTCTGGGGATACTAGGGGTGGGCTCTGGCCTCCTCCCCATCTCTAACTTCAGTCCAAGGGGCTCTGCTTTTATCTGCTCTATACCATGGGGTCATGTGGTATTTCTTTAGGAAGGAGGGCTCCCTTGCTATACTGGTCATTGTTGGCTTACCAACACACATTCACGCAAGATGGTGATCTCACTTTCCTTTTTGGTGATTGGTTGCACCTCTGGACAACAAGGGGTAGAAGGAAGTCTGACAGGGGCTTGTGGGAAAAGTTTCTTGTTCCTAAAAATGAAACACAAGAAAGATGGATTCTCTTCTTTCTTGGCTGGTGGTGTGCCTGCTTGTGGTGCCTGGTTACTGTGGTTGCCATCCTGTGACCCTGAAGGAAGCCAGAATGAGGACAAAGTTAATCCACGGAGAATTGCAGAGTGCTTGGTAATACTGGTGAGCAGCTGACCATATGGTCCCAGGAGTGGTCCTGTCTTGGGACTTTATCGGATGAGACATTTTCTTATTGTTTAAGCTAGTTTGAATATGCTGGTTTTGTTTTTCATTTTTGTTGTTTGTTTCTTTGCTCGCTTTTGTTATTTATAGCTAAATGCAAACAAGTTGATAGACTTTGAAAAATGGTTGACCTAGGCCAGGCCCCACATTTCAAAGATGGGGTGACTGTGGCCCAGGGAAGCGGGGAATGGTTGGGTCAAGGTCATGCCCTGATTAGTGGCAGAGGTGGTCCAGAACTCTTGTCTGCTGGTCTAAGACTCTTTCCTTGGATTCACAGGTAGAGAGCTGATATCCTGGGGTGGTCCCAGCTGCCATTGTCTCCTGGTCCCTGGAGGATCCAGGAAAGCCAGGGAGGCCCTGCAGTCTGAGAGGGTTGGGATGAAGTAGGCAGCACACACTGAGAGCCTCTTAACCTGTTCTTATAGATAGCTTCTGAAAAGCACAAAGCAGATGCATAACCCATTCCTGAACCTGAGAACTTGGAAAGAGGGATACACGGAGCCATTCAGGGTTGCCATGTACATCAGTTAGGATAACTACATTAGGATAAACCTTAAACAAGTAAGGGGTTATTTTTCTCGCATAATAGGGAATCTGGACATAGGCAGTCCAGGTTGGTACAGCTGTTCAAAGGCATCATTAAGAATCAAGACTCCTGCTCTCTTTCTGCTGTCATTTTTGACTTGTCTTCATGGTCACAAAGAGCTGCTCCAGTTCCAGGCATCACATCTGAATTCCAGGCTGGAAGAAGGGTTTAGGGGGAAAGCCTTTGCCAGCTAAGACTATGTCCTTTTATCAAGAAGGCCCCACTATAAAATTCATTATACATCTCATTGACCAGAAATGGGTTACATGGACATCTTTGGCTGGACTTGGGGAAGGCAAGTATTTTTAACAGGGGATTTTGCGGCCCCAGACAAATGCGGGATTTTGTTAGAAAGGAGAGAAGGAGAAGTGGATATTGGGAGGCAACCGGTGGCCTTCCACAGCAGGATCTGCAGTCTTACTCAGCAGGCAACAGAGCCAGGAATACGGCCCAGAGGGTGTGACCTCCTCTCTGAAAGCTCTGAAGCTGCTCAAGCCTCAATGTGCTGGCTTCAGGGTCTCCTCCATCTTAATCATTTCCCTCAGAGATGCCAAAGTAATCTTCCCACAAGACCCTCTCCGTCATCTTACTTCCTGGCCTGAAATCTCCCTTTGCCCATAGGATGTGCCCTAAATTCCCTGGCCTGGTATTTAAAGGTCCTCCGATCAGGCCGCAAACCACCTCTGTGGCCCGATTCATCTCCTGTGCTCATCCTCAGCTTGGGTTCTTCCCCATTTGGGCACTGCCTCTTACCTTGTTCTCATGAGTCTTCTCCTGTCCAACCTGCCTCATGGATTCCCACCACCTTCAGGGTCACCTCACTCCTAAAGCTGACTCAGATGCTCTGGACCTTCCCTGTGGTTCCCTAGGGCATGGTAACATGTGCTATTCAGATCAAACGTTTTTCCTATAGCAACCACCCCAGAATTTAAGGGATGAAATGGGCCCCATGTTTATATACCCAAGTCTTACACATAGAAGATGCTCAATAAATACTTGCTCTTCTTCCAAACAATCCATCTTGAGCAACCTCCAGCCAGGAGCTCTGGGAGCTCTTGATGGCTTTCAAAATACGGAGTTGAGAAGATGCTCCCACTGGCTTAGAAAGTTGACAGCATCTGAGTTTGCTCGAACCAAAGCGGCTGCTTGATGGGCAGGGATCCACTGTGTCACCAGCACGCAGCATAGTACCTGGGCCTTGTAGGCATTAAATAAGTACTTATTGAAAATGACATAAAAAGGCACTTGTGAATAGCTCATAATTGGATCCAATATTCCTGATTTCTTATCCTCTCCCAGGACTCACCTTGCAGCCTGGATAAAGCTATCTCATCTCTCAGTCCTAATGGGGGGAGTTGAGGAGCCAAATCCATCAAGCCCCTCAGCAGAAGCCACCATAGGTGTCTCTCTCCCTGCAGTTGTACCGAGTCAGGGCTCCAGAGTTGGCATGACAGTGTCACCAAGAACACAAGTGCCCTCTCATGCTTCTGCTCTCCCATCTTCTGCATTTCAAAGGGTCAGATGCCTAAGATCTAGCCACTAGAGAGGCTGGGGAGTCACACAGCTGCTGTGCTCTGCTGTAATGGAAAGCAAAGAGGTGGGAAGGAGTGATTGGAGGGTACACAGTGTCCAAAGTGGCTATACGAATTTATGATTCCCCCATTATATGAGTTGCACTTGCTCCATATTCTTACCAACACTTGGTATTATCAGTGCTTTTAATGTGAGCTACTCTGTCTGGTGGGTGTGTAGTGGTATCTCCTTATGATTGGGTTTTCACTTGTATTTCTTGATTAACTAATGAAATTGAGCATACTTTAATATGATTATTGGTCACTCACATGGCTTTATTTTTCAACTTTGAGTGAGGAGGAAGAGAAGTGGGGAGAGGCTGTCTGAGTGTGAAAGTGGGTGACTGCTGAGTGTGGGAATGTTTGAGAGGTGCCTCTTTACTGCTTGAACCAAGTAGAGGGGAGTCTGGGAATGAGGACTTCTGTGTTTGTGGAGTCACACCGGCAGGAGAGGTGATGAGATGCTGAGGCAGAGAAAGAGCTGGCTTAGGCTTGGGCAAGTACTAACAGCCACATTTTGGGCAAGTGCCTCAATTTCCACCTGTGCCAAATGGAAAGAAGCATAATGCCAACTGGATAGTGTTGTTGTAAGATTTAAATGAGGTGAAATGCAGACGGTGTCTGGAGCAGAGGTACACAGAGATAAATTGTCTGCAGTGCCTGGCTTAATAAGTGACAGCCATCATCAGTATAGAATTATTGGGGAGCGAGAACCAGAACCCCCCCCCCCCCACACACACACACAACTGGGTAGCAGCAGAAGACCTTGTGACTCGTACAGGACTTCTTTTCTTGCTTAGAAGTTGCCTCTCATAGACAGTAGCCAGTCTAAGTGCCTGTGCTCTTCTGATATCCTGCCCTAAGCACTTCGGAACCCCCCACGGAAGAGTAAAATAAAATGCACTCATTCCTCCTACCAAGATGTTATTTAAGAATTGTCAGTTTAGTGTTCTCCCTGCTGCTCTAAGTCAATAAAAGTCCGTTGTACTTCTATCATAACAGCTTTCTTTAACTGAGTGGGGGCTTTCCACAATTTAGATGTTATTCAGCTAATCTCACTTCTGTCTAATATTGTTTTGTCTCGAATTTTATTTGTCTGTAAAGGGGGAAATGGTCAAAGAATTGTCAACAGATGGCCTAAAACAGCCCCAAGGACCAACAAGCCTAAGGTCTTCCTTGGCTGGTGGACTTTAGATGATAAACTTTATCTCAGATCATCATCTGAAAATGTTACAAGTTCTGTCCCCGCCCACCCTCCCACCCCCCCAGCCCTGACTTTGTGTCCGGGACAGTTGATATGGGAGACACAATCTCAAAAACCCCCTTTTGCTAAGGACTTGAGTTGGAGATAGCCACCCTCTGGTTGGGAGCCCAAGACAGGAGGCAGGGAAGGAGCACTTTAACCAACTGTTATCAACATGCATGGGCTCATCTCAGTCCAAGCCTATTCCTCCCCCAGGCTGGAGCCCACTCTGTAGGATGCTCACTGTAACCCAAATTCTTGTGCATATTTTACAAACGGCACAACTCCACCAAGGATAGTCTGGAGTTACAGCGACCAGGTTGGGGAACTTTCAATATGATACAAATGGCCTATCTTAATGATGTCTTACACAGGGATTGACAGACATTTTCTGTAAAAGGCCAGACAGTCAATGTTTTAGGCTCTGTGTACCACACGGTCTCTGTTGCAACACCTCAACTCTGGCCTTAGGGTGCAACAGCCCGGTAGACAGTACATAAACAAATGGGCATGACTTCCAGCAAAACCTTATTTGAAAAAAAAAATAAAACAACACAACAAAAACGTCCACGAGCAAAAATTAGCCTTTGGGTTGTAGTTTACTGAATCCTGCTCTAATGCATACCTCACCTGCCAACAACACAATCTTGGCAAAACAGTAAAGGTGTGGCATGGATGGGAATCAAGACCTCGAGGCCCATTTGAAAACCTCCAAATGAATGTTCTACAATTATCCCCTGTGAGGGAATATGACTATGTTCTGCTGGTTTTGTTCTTGTTTGTTGTTGGCTTCTTTTGCGTGTTTGTTTTGAGATTTGTTGAAGCCTTCCCTTGTGGGAGAGGATCGAAACAAGCCATTCCATTTTGTGTTTCCTACTAGCAGGGGGTCCCCATCTACTGCTCTAGTCATGAGTATCCATATTTTCCTGAGAAGATCATTAAAATTGCTCTACAAGACATTGCTGCTTACTCAAAGTTTCCCCTGTCCATACCATCTCCAATCTTCAGGCAAAGTAGAAAGGATGAGTGAAATTTTCACATTAAACTTACCTCAGCTTTCAGAAACACTTGAATTTCCCTGGTCCAAAGTCCTACCCTTGACCTTACTGACAATAAGATCAACTCCTTTGAGAGTACATCACTCTCTCCGCATTAGTTGGTAACCAGCCTACCCAAGCATCCAGGAATATTACCTCTAATCCTAGATTCTGCCCTATCAGGAGCTGAGATAGCCAAATACTGCAAGGGATCCATACAATATGCCAGTTTTATTATTAACATTCTCCTAATTCATCCTGCACAACCTGAACCTTGGTTTTCTGGAAGAGACACCACAGAAAGGCAGCCCTTGGACCTTGATGGAAAAAGACCTTAGCAGTTATTGCTAACACCTCGTACAGCAGTGAAATTTCAGGGGTTTGATTTTTGAATCTATGCTTCCCAAACAAAGAAACACAGATCATCCCTGATGCCTGGGAGGCCATCCCAAACAGAAACTTTCTGATGAGGACTCTTAAGAATCCTTCAGAAGCAGAAAATCTTTAGAAGGAGACTAACCTGAGACCTTCATATTAAGCAGATGACAGCGTGAAGGAGATAGTTTGTTCTTCCAAAACTTCAAGACTGTCCAGATGCCTGGAGCCACAGGTTCATGTACCCTGCTTTGTCTAGCACTCTTCATTTAGTTTTGCCTATTTCTTACTTTGCTGTTGTGCAGTAATGGTTTGCTGGTAACATAGCTGCTGCTCCATCACATATGTCATATTGAGAAAACATTCCTGGTCATTGTCATGTTGTTGTTGCTCTTCCCAAAGGAGACTTCAAGAGATTATCCAACTCTCACACTAGGCACCTACACCCTCAGCTCAGTCTATGCCCCACTATGGTACAATTTTTTTTTAAATGTGGAAGTCAAGTCTTAACTTGTTAGACATGTTTAGGTATTTAAGATCTTAACATCTTCTGAGAAACATGTCTCACCGAAACATGCCTCCCGGGACTGACAAAATAAAGCCGCAGAGGCTATTCTAGGAAATTACCCAGAAAAATATTGATTCACTTTTTATGTGCACCATCCAAGTGGTGATTTCTATAATGATGACCGTACCATTGGAAAAGGCTGATAGAAATGTATTATTAACCTTGGCTGATGTCATAAATAATTTTCCATAACTTTTAAGGTTCATCAGACAAGTATAAATTCTTTGGCCCAATTGGAAATGGACAATCAAACAGCTTTACCTTTTCTATTAGTCAGACAGGGAGTTATCTGGACAATTGCCAACAGTTTGTGTTACTCTTGGGTAAATATTACTGACCAGGTATAACAATCTATTTTGAAACTAAAATCTATTTTGAAGGCCACTTTTCTCTCTAAGGTACACCTGAGTGGACTATGGGACATAATTTTAAAAATATTTTTATTGATTTCAGAGAGAGGAAGGGAGAGGAAGGGAGGGATAGAAACATCAATGATGAGAGAGAATCATGCTCCCCACTGATGACTGAGCCCGAAACCCAGGCATGTGCCTTGATCAGGAATTGAGCCGTGACCTTTCTGGTTCACGGATCGATGCTCAACCACCACGTCACACCAGCTGGGCTGGGACATAATTTTTAACCTGTGCTGGGTTCAGTAGTGTGGGATCTCATCACCTTGCTTTTCGTCTTCATGTGCATAGTGGTTGCCAAGGGTAGACTCTCCGGTGTCTTGACTGTGAATGAACAGGTATCATCACATCACAGATCAACAACACATCACTTGACAAATGGAACGGGGAGACCAGAGCAGTCCAGCTCCAAATTGTTGTTTCTAAGAAGACAATGTCACCTAGACTCTCTTTGGCCAGAGAATGGCCATAAAGGGAGGAGCGTCTGGAGGATCAGAACCAGTACTGCTCCCCTCCCCCATCAATTATGTAATTATTATCACAGAAGGTCTGTGACTTCCATAACACCTTGTCTTCACTCATCACTTCACCTAAATCAACCTTTGCCTTAAGAAAACAATCAGTCATGACATTGCATAAAGGTGGCAGATTAAGTGGAAGCTACACTGACCTTCTCCCTGGACCAAACTGGAATTACAACTAAAATATAGAAAAATCATCCTGAATAACCATATGAAGACTAACTGGAGAGAACCCTTCTAAGAGGAGGTCATGTCGAGACTGAAGAGGCAAGAAGGGATTGTCCTTTGGAGATGTCTGAAAGAACATGACCAGCAGACAACTTGATCCTGGAATTCCAATTTTCAGAAATGTGGACAATAAATTTCTGTTTTAAACAAAACAAACAAAAAAGGAAGGAAGGAAGAAGTTAATCAGTCCCAATACTGGTTCCACTCCTGATATCCACCTTCTTCTAGAACAGGGGTGGGGAACGTCTGGCCTGTGGGCCACACAAGACCCTCAAAATCATTTGGTCTGGCCCTGTGAAAGCATTAGGGGTGAGTTAATTAAATGTTTGACCAAACAGAGCAGGCTAATTTTTAAGTAGATAATTTTGTATGGCCCACAAATGATGGTATAAACATCCAAATGGCCCCTGGCAGAAAAAAGGTTCCCCACTCCTGTTTTAGAACAATATAAACTATGGCCTCCTTTCTCCTAATGAGACATCATTTTAGGATTCCCTGTGCAGAGTTCTACCCCATTGCAAAAGGTCAGTACAGCTCAATTTGTTCATGGCATAATACGTTACTTTTGGGTGAAGAGGCTTTTCATGGGAGTTACATTGGATCTGTTTTAATATCTTACTCAACATCTGGCCTAGTATCATCTGAAAAAAATTCTCATTAGGTGTTCTTTGCATAGAAACACAATTTAATATCCTTTGGAAAAGAGCTGTTTGAATCCGAACAGAGACCCAAGCATGCCTTAATGAATTAATTCACATATTCAACACTCATTGGGGTACCTGCTGTTGCAGGACCCTGTGCTGGGAGACAGGAGTACAGGAGTACAACAGTGTGCAAAACAGATGTGGCGCTGTCCGTGTAGCTCGCAGAAGGGTTTCTTGAAAGCTTAGGCAGTATTTGGCTCCTCTCAGTAGTTCAGCCAGCTCTACCCTGTCCATGGTCCATGGTTTGGTTGGGGGGGGGGGCGGTGCTGAGGATTATCCAGGACAAAATCATTTCCTTCCTATAAAGCTGCTGCAGTAAGTTTGTGTGTCCAGAATTCCCTTGATTTCACAGAAGGAACCTTGGATATAGTTATCCAACCTTTTACTATGTAAATTATATTTATTATATAAATTAGTAAACTAAAGCCCAGGGATATTGAGAACCTTGTTCAGGGAGAGAGAGAGAGAGAGAGAGAGAGAGAGAGAGAGAGAGAGAAAAATCATATGTTTTAAATAAAATGAGTCAGAATCAAGGTCATTAATAATGGGCTTTCTGAGAGAACCCAGATTGGTCATTAAAAATGGGCTTTCTGAGAGAACCCTGATTGGTTATGAGCTCCAAGGACTTATTTTTAAAAATAAGAGAGTACTCTGTTTAATGAAGCATCAATGTTTCCCCTGTTTTGGACCATTAGGATTTTTTTTAAATCACTCAAAACATCCATTCTTTACATAAAGCTCACATTCCCATCACTGTAATGATATAGAAATGGCACCTTATAGCCCAAAGCTGATTTCGGGGTGGGGAGAGTAAGACCCTTTTGAACAACCTCAGGACTCTTTCCCCAGGCCACAGGCAGCTCTGAGACCGAAGGTCACTCAGGGCGGAGTCCCCTCTGTCCACCTCTTCTGTGTGGAGTTAGGCTCCGTCCTCCCAAACTTGCTAACCCCTGAGGGGCCCTTCCAAATCCAGATCATCCTGTAAGAGTCAACCCACAAGCCCATCACCCCAGCTCCATCAGCACCTGAAGTGTCCTGGGCTGGGGGAAGGGAAGCCCTTGGAGGCAGCCCCCCTCCTCGCCAGTAGAGATGGTCTCTTAGGTCTGGAGTGAGAGGCGGCCCAGGCTGGGAAGGCAGGAGGGTTTCTTTTCTTTCCCAAGTTTGAACCCAAAGTTGCTTTGTTCTTTGGGATCTATTCTGCTTTGTAGAGTGCCTCGGAAGGCCCCGCTGACAGTGGCATGAGGGTAATGGAAGGGAATGGAAACATATGAGGGAGACGAAACCCTGGAGAATCTGAGTCTGGTTCCCAGACCGGAGAGCTGACGAGGGGAGATCAACCGAGACAGAACTTAATCCCTGTCCTCAGAGAGACCTGCCCGCTGGCTTAGCAAAAGCCTCTGTGCTTTTCCTCTGTTCCTGGAGAATTTAGACAAAACAGCCCTGAGCCCCATGAGGCAGGGAAGCAAAAAGGCCCTCCCCAAGCTGGATTAGGGCCTTTCTGCGTCTGATGAGTTCTGTGTCTGGAGTGACTGAGGGCACTGAGAATTGGGAACAGGGCTGTTGGGGAGGGAGACTTCAGGATGTCTCCTGAGCCAGGAATAACTGGGGAGGTCAGCTGGTTAAACCCTGTGCTGTGGGGACAAACACCGAGGAGCAGAGAGGGAGCAAGCCCTGCCCACGTCACACAGGACCCTTCACATTTCAGATGCGGAGCTTCTGATTCCCAGTCTCACTCTCTAGCCAATGCGGGTCATTTGATGACAGTTTAGTTCAATTCAACAGATATTTACTGAGTGTCTGCGGCCTGCGAGGCTCTGTACTAGGCTCCGGAATCAGATAAATCCCGCCTTTGCCCTCTTGGAGCGGACAGCCTGGCAGGGAAGATAGAGGCTCTTGTAAAGACAAGTACCGACGCAGTAGAAGGAGTTCATCAGAAAGGCGGATGCGGAGGAAACTCCTGACAAGGAGGCCGGCGTTTGAGTGGAGACAACGTGGGACAGGAGGTGGTCAGATAAAGAGGGGAAGGGGAAAAAGGAGAATGTTCAGATTGAAGGGAGAGCATGAAGGATAATAACATTAGCCTCATTTATTGAACACCAACTATGCACCAGTCACTATTCTAAGTAGTTTAAGTTCTTACAGATAAACTCACTTAATCCCCACGATGAACATAGGTGGCAGGTGCCACTATTACCCCCCAGTTATAGGAGGGAAAGTAGGCACAGACGGAATAAGTAACTTTCCCAATTAGTAAATACAGAACTGGGATTCAAACCCAGGCCTCTGGCTCCAGCCCCTGCTCCGAGCTGCTGTGCAAGAGAGCTCCTGTGGGCCCAAGTGGATGGCATTGCTTGAATAAACAGAATGAGAGTTCCTCTCAAGAGTACAGGAGGGGAGACCTGTGGAAGCATAAATCAGTGCAATCTTAGGAAAGATTATGTGGCAACGTGCATGCATACCCTTTGACACAGTGTTTTCACTTCTAGAAACATAGCCAAAGGCAATCGTCAGAAACGTACACAAAGGTATACAATGGGAAATGACTAAAATGTCCTTCAATAGCAATTGGTTAAAATAACTATAGTATTTTTGTACAACCCAACATGATGGAGCCTTTAAAAGTTAAAAATCCAGTTTGTTCCTCCTGGTTTGTATCTTAAGGAAGGATGAGAAAGGTCTATGAAAAGAAAAGGGGGTGAGTTCCTCTGTCAGGATAGCAAAAGTTGTAGCTGGGACCCCTGGTGGTTCTGGGGGAGGCAAGGAGGCCACGCAGAGGTGAGGCCTGCAGAGAAGTGAGACCCGGGGAGGGGGTGTGGCCAGTCAGCGGCCAGCTTGGGCCCTGGCACTGGCTCCAGGCTCTGGGTTTAAAGAGCTTTTAAAGCTTATTAAAAAGGTTTCTTAGACATCAAATGGCTCTTAAAAATC